TATTAAAAAATTAAAAATAGATAAAATTTGCATTTTATAAAGGATACAAGTTTTTTGGGGATTTCAAAATAATGTACTAAAACATTAAAATTAATAAGTTCAAATCAGTAGCAAATATAAATATTGTAATCATTTCTTATAAATACCATTTCCTAATGTAATTTTCCAAGATATTAAAGATCATAATGCAAAAAAACTAAATTTATTAAAAGTAATAGGCTTTATGTTTCTTAAACTACCTACATTTGTCAAAGTACTTATGAACATTCGAAGATATTCGTCCACAAGTTTTATTGTTGGAATGAAATATAGCAAGACTTGCATTGCCTACTAAGAAATTTAGTAGCCGGTAGTCATCGGGTTAACTATTATGGGGTGCTATAGTGATCTTTTAAACTATTATGGAATGTTCTAGTGTTTTAACTATTATTAGATGTTATAAAGTGGTCTTAAACCATAATGAGGTATTTATAAAGTGGCTTCCAACTTGTGATTTTTAACTATTATGTCATGTTATAGAGTGATTTTTAACTTTTATGGGATGTTATAGTGATTTTTAACTTTTATGTGATGTTACAGAGTGATTTTTAACTTTTATATGATGTTAGTGTTTTTTTTTAAAGTAAGACCTGATATGAAATGTTTAGATAGTGAAAATGAAAAAATATTTGTAAATTTCTAAATTTATTGTATGCATTGATTAAAAAAGGTATATTTTTTTAACTTCAATGATATAACAACAAAATAGTTTTATTGAGATTTGATTTTGGTTTAAAGTTAAATCAATATTTTTTCTTTATGCACTTGAGCCTAGGCTATATGATTCCACACTGCATCTTCACTTTAGGCTCAATTACAAAAAAAAAGTCATACCTTAGGCTCACTTATCACATTGTGATAAAGTTGATTAATATTTTGTTATTTATATTTTTTTAGTTGTTTGACAGTCTTCTACGACTTCTTTGATCTTGAGTTGTACACAAAAGCAAAGTAAAAATTACCAAAGATTTCAATAAAGTGGTGTTATTTCATTAAGGAAAACTGCAATGCATTTGTTCCCTCCACATGTTTGGGTTTCTATGAAATGGGTCTATTCAGTGGAAAAAATCTCTACAGCTATAAGCTGAGCACTCTGTGCTGAATGCACCCATTGCCTAGAAATCCAAATATTTTTGCTAACAGTGCATTGTATTCAGTCTCCTTTGCTTAAAAGCAAATGTAGCACAATTTTCTTTATTGAAATAACACATGAAATGACAAAAGACAGTTGTAAACAGCCCACTAGACAATCAAATTGAATATAAGCTATGATTCAAGACATTGCATTGACTGCACATTTTTTATTTATTCATCACAATATTTAGGAAAATTAACATTGTTTTCTTTCAATGGGCATTCAGCTAATTTATTAATAAAAGTGACTGTACCAACATCATTAACTAAATTAACATACAAAACTACTACATGTTCCATCTAAATTAAGCAAAAAAATTGCAATCCTGAAAATTCTAAAATTTCTCTAATAAAAGCTTGTTTGAAAAAT